AGTGATTTTGGAGCCCAAGAAAATAAAGTCTCTCACTGTTTCCACTGTTTCCCCATCTATTTGCCATGAAGTGATGGGACCAGATGCCATGACCTTAGTTTTCTGAATGTTGAGTTTTAAGCCAACATTTTACTCTCCTCTTTCACTTTCATCAAGAGGCTCTTTAGTTCTTCACTTTCTACCATAAAGGTGGTGGTCATCTGCATATCTGAGGTTATTGATATTTCTCCGACCAATCTTGATTCCAGCCTGTGCTTCATACAGCCTGGCATTTCACATGATGTACACTGCATATAAGTTAAATAAGCAGGGTGACAGTATGCAGCCTTCACGTACTCCTTTCCCAATTTGGAACCAGTCTGTTTTTCCATCTCCAGTTCTAACCATTGATTCTTGACCTACATACAGATTTCTCAGGAGGCAGGTCAGGTGCTCTGGTATTCCCATCTCTTGAAGAATTTTCCACAGTTTCTTATGATTCACACAATCGAAGGCTTTGGCATAGTCAATAAAGCAGAAGTAGATGTTTTTCTGGAACTCTCTTGCCTTTTTGATCATCCAATGTATGTTGGATAGTTGATCTCTGGTTCCGCTACCTTTTCTATACCCAGCTTGAACATCTGGGAGTTCATGGTTCACGTACTATTGAAGCCTGGCTTAGAGAATTTTGAGTTAGTGTGTGAGATGAGTGCAATTGTGCAGTAGTTTGAGCATTCTTGGCATTGCCTTTCTTTGGGATTGGAATGAAAACTGACGTTTTCCAGTCCCCTGGCCACTGCTGAGTTTTCTCGGTTTACTGGCATATTGAGTGCAGCACTTTCACAGCATCATATTTTAGGATTTGAAATAGCTCAACTGGGATTCCATCACCTCTACTAGCTTTGTTCATAGTGATGCTTCCTAAGGCTCACTTGACTTCGAATTCCAGGACGTCTGGTTCTAGATGAGTGATCACACCATTTTGATTATCTGGGTCATGAAGATCTTTCTTGTAAAGTTCTTCTGTGTATTCTTGCCACCTCTTTTTTATATCTTCTGCTTCTGTTAGGTCCATACCATTTCTGTCTTTTATTGTGCCCATCTTTGTGTGAAATGTTCCCTCGGTATCTCTAATTTTCTTGAAGAGATCTCTAGTCTTTCCATTCTGTTGTTTTACTCTATTTCTTTGCATTGATCACAGAGGAAGGCTTTCTTATCTTTCCCTGCTATTCTTTGGAACTCTGCATTCACATGGGTATATCTTTCCTGTTCTCCTTTGCCTTTCACCCTCTTTGGGTATCCAGTAAGCATGAGAATATAAACAACAGAAGATGGATCAACAGGAGAAAAGCAAACAGACTTTGAAATGTACACAGGAGCCTCCATAAGAAAGCAAAGATGCAAAAAGGCAGCAAAACCTCAGTGCTTATGCATGACGTGGGACAATGAGAGGGAATTATGGAAAAGTAGGTAAAATACACGGGGCCACCAAAGGAAGATAGGAGCTACTTAAACAAGGTCTGTTTGCACACAGTTCTCTGTCTCTTGGCTCTGCTCATCTCTGATGACAAGTATGTATCTTTCCCCCTGATGCCGGGAGGGCCCCTCTCACAAGGGAAGTTTGTCTCCCACTTTTAGGAAGAAAGGGCAGGTCAGAAGGTGCTTCTGGCACCTGTTGTTCTTCAGCTCAAAATAATCCTGCTGCCAAAGCGGCATATATAGGGCAGCACATTCTGCCACCCTTCAATGTGTATATAATTTTATTTCTTGGGATAGATTCCCTTTCTGGTGTGAAAGAAGAAGCTATTTTTAAAGGCTTTGAACACCTACAAAACAGTATTTTGAACCAAAGAATGTACTGTGTAGCAATTGTTAAATTGTCTTTTTCATTTAAGAAGATCCTTTAGGTGATGTGGTCCTTTCTTATAATTAGAGGATGAAGCACTTTCACTCTCTTTTGCTAAGGAGACGCTGTCCCCTCTGCACCGGGAGGCAGGAGGTCTCAGAATCAGATTTACTATTTCCTAGAGACAGCCTGAGAATTCATCTTCAGTACCTTTGGCAACTGGCGATTTATTGAACATGAATAATTCATTTTAGGTCATGACTTTCAACCTCTCTTCTCCCCAAAGGTTAAAAAAGATCTAAAAGTTGAACGGTTCCATGAAGACTACAAGACCTTCTAGAACTAACACCAAAAATAGATGTTCTTTCCATTATAGGGGACTTGAATGCAAAAGTAGGTAGTCAAGAAATACCTGGAGTAACTAGCAAATTTGGCCTTGAAGTACAGAACGAAGCAGGGCAAAGGCTAATAGAGTTTTGCCAAGAGAATGCACTGGTCATAACAAATACCCTCTTCCAACAACACAAGAGAAGACTGACTCTACACATGGACATCCCCAGATGGTCAATACTGAAATCAGATTAATTATATTCTTTGCAGCCAAAGATGGAAAAGCTCTGTACAGTCAGCAAAAACAAGACTGGGAGCTGACTGTGGCTCAGATCACGAACTCCTTATTTCCAAATTCTGTCTTAAATTGAAGAGAGTAGGAAAAGCCACTAGACCATTCAGGTCTGACCTAAATCAAGTCCCTTATGACTATACAGTGGAAGTGACAAATAGATTCAAGGGATTAGATCTGATAGAGTGCCTGAAGAACTATGGATGGGGCTTCATGACATTGTACAGGAGGTAGTGATCAAGACCATCCCCAAGAAAAAGAAATGCAAAAAAGCAAAATGGTTGTCTGACGAGGTCTTACAAACAGCTTTGAAAAGAAGAGAAGCAAAAGGCAAAGAAGCAAAGGAAAGACATACCCATTTGAATGCAGAGTTCCAAAGAATAGCAGGGAAAGATAAGAAAGCCTTCCTCAGTGATCAGTGCAAAGAAATAGAGGAAAACAATAGAATGGGAAAGACTAGAGATCTCTTCAAGAAAATTAGAGATACCGAGGGAACATTTCACACAAAGATGGGCACAATAAAAGACAGAAATGGTAGGGACCTAACAGAAGCAGAAGATATTAAGAAGAGGTGGCAAGAATACAAAGAAGAACTATACAAAAAAGATCTTCATGACCCAGCTAATCACAATGGTGTGATCACTCACCTAGAGCCAGACATCCTGGAATGCAAAGTCAAGTGGGCCTTAGTGCTTCCACTGAAGGCAAATCAATGAAGATTTTCCCCAAAGCAGCAGAATTATAGATGAACAGGTGAAATTCAGAGTAGATTTAAATCTAATACAAACACAGATATTGAAAGAAACAAATGTCTCTTTAAATATTTTGTCTCCAGTATGAAGAATCTATGAAGAATTATTTGGTGGGGAAAAGAAAGACACAACATGAGTAAAATTTGCTACAACTATTGACAATAGCACTTACCATGCTGATCTGAAGGTGCCCCACTGCCAGAGGTAATGACAGGAGGCATCCGCCCAGGTAAGCTTTATCACAGAGCAGGAAATGACCCCACCTGAGGGCTGCATACTTAAAGCACCACAGTCTCTTTTCAGTTTTTCATTTTTCTGGGGTTAAAGGAGGTGTGACAGGCCTGCCGGAATCCCCTGGGATAAAATCTGTGCACAACCACTGATGAATTTGCTAAAGTTTATCCAAATCTCCTTTGACTATGCCAAAGCCTTCGATTGTGTGGATCACAACAAACTGGAAAATTCTTCAAGAGATGGGAATACCAGAGCACCTGACCTGCCCTGAGAAATCTGTATGCAGGTCAAGAATCAACAGTTAGAAATGGACATGGAACAGACTAGTTCCAAATCGGGAAAGTAGTACGTCAAGGCTGCATACTATCACCCTGCTTATTTAACTTATATGCAGCGTACATTATGCAAAATGCCAGGCTGTATGAAGCACAAGCTAGAATCAAGATTGCTGGAAGAAATATCAATAACCTCAGATATGCAGATGACACCAACCTCATAGCAGAAAGCAAAGAAGAACTAAAGAGCCTCTTAATGAAAGTGAAAGAGGAGAGTGAAAAAGTTGGCTTAAAACTCAACATTCAGAAAACTAAGGTCATGGCATCTGGTCCCATCACTTCATGGCAAATAGATGGAGAAACAGCGGAAATAGTGAAAGACTTTATTTTCTTGGGCTCCAAAGTCACTGCAGATGGTGACTGCAGCCTTGAAATTAAAAGATGCTTGCTCCTTGGAATAAAAGCTATGACCAACCTAGACAGCATATTAAAAAGCAGAGACATTACTTTGCCAACAAAGGCCCGTATTGTCAAGGCTATGGTTTTTCCAGTAGTCATGTATGGATGTGAGAGTTGGACTGTAAAGAAAGCTGAGCACTGAAGAATTGTGCTTTTAAACCGTGGTTTTGGAGAAGACTCTCGAGATTCCTTTGGACTGCAAGGAGATCCTACCAGTCCACCCTAAAGGAAATGGGTCTTGAATATTCATTGGAAGGGCTGATGCTGAAGCTGAAACTCCAATGCTTTGGCCATGATGCAAAGAGCTGACTCATTGGAAAAGACCCTGATGCTGGGAAAGATTGAAGGCAGGTGGAGACGGGACGACAGACGGTGAGATGGTTGGATGGCATCACCAACTCAATGGACATGAGTCTGAGTAAACTCTGGGAGATAGTGAAGGACAGGGGAGCCTGGCGTGCTGCAGTCCATGGTGTATAGCAAACAGTAGGACAGGAATGAGTGACTGAACTGAGCTGAAAATGCTTCCAGTTTCCCTTGACTTGTGGTGAAAGTCCTAATGAACTATACACTAGTAATCGGGCCTTGGCGATTTAGGAACTAGACCCCAGACCACCAGCTCATCAGCCGTTCGACCCTGGGGACCACGCTCCCCCTCACAGATTCCGCGCAGTTTAGCGCCCGAAGGGAGGAGAGGGGCGGGACTCCACGTTCCTAGCAACCGCGCCGCGTCCCCTGATTGGCTGGTCGCCGCGCGGCCGCCATTTTCAAACCCCGGAAGATGGCGGCGGCGGAGGTGGCGGCGCCGTCCTGACAGGAACCCGTCTCCGGGCCGCAGCGGCCGGGCGCCGTGCCGCTCCCAGCGGGCCTCCTGGGCACCCAGCCACCGCGCCGCCCCCTCCACGCCATGGAGCCCGAGCTGGAGGCCCAGGAGCAGAGCCGGCCGCGGAGGCGAAGCCGCAGGGCCTCGGGTCTCAACGCCGGCGGCGCCGCGGAGCCAGCGGCCGACACCCCCGGGTCCGGCCAGGACGGCAGGTGAGCGCAGGGTCGACGACGCTTGGGGACTCGGGGTGTCGGGCCCGAGGCTGGGGAGGGGGTGGCGGGCAGGGAAGGGGCCGGGGGCAGGGAAGAGCCTGGCTACCTGCTCTCCTTCCTCCTCTCTCCCCTCGTCCCCCTCTTCCGATCTCCTGACCCTCCTTTATTTTTACCTCCGGTTCCTCTTCCTCCTCCCTCTTATCTCCTCCCCTCCCGGCTCAGGGGCTGGAGGTCCTCTCTGCACACCCAGCAGGTTTCGGGCTGGATTGTGGGGGAGGAGGGGCGGTTCCTAAACGCCCACAGAGAGCTGCTGGCTCAGGGGACTGGAATCGTTCCTGGAGCCGGAGAGTTTCTGTTCAGTCGCTCAGTCGTGTCCGACTCCTTACGACCCCATGGACCGCAGCCCGCCAGGCTCCTCTTGTCCATGGATTCTCCAGACAAGAATCCTGGAGTGGGTTTCCATTCCCTTCTCCGGGGGATCTTACCAGCCCAGGGATCAAGCCAGCATCTCCTGCATTGACAGGCGGATTCTTTACCACCACGGATTCTTGTGTCACCAGGGAAGCCCCCGAGGAGTTCTACCAGACACCAAACTTTTAGCCTAAAAGCAAGCATTAAATGCAAGCATTAAAATGAAAAGTTTCGCCGAGGTCAGAGTCCCTCCTTTCGAGCCTCTGACCAAGTCCGTGATCAGGGCGCAGCTCAGGGCCCCAGCCTCCCTGGTAAAGAGGACGCAGAGGCCCGTCTTGGACTTTTTAGCTGTTGACACATTTCATTCTGTCCGATGCGTCTGCAAAGGGAGGACACCTACCGAGGGTGTTAGAAGCTGTGTCTGCCAGCGAGCAGTGAACAAGGGCTGGGGGCATTACTTTTCCGTCAGGATGCTGCAGGCCCTAGGTTCCTGTGACCGGTCGTTGGACCTTTCATCTCTAAGACCGGGTCCTCATCCGGCATATGGGGTTGAAATAGTACCCACTTCCTCCAAGTTGTGCAATTCAATGAGGTCATTGTGTGAGCCTGTATGCAGGGAGCTTGCAACAAACAGTTATTTCCTGATTTTTATCTGTAATTCCATATCTGCTTCTCTTTTCAGAAGTTCCTGTGGTCCGCTACTTAAACTACAGTTCCTTATTGACGTTACATTCCAGTCATTCTTGGATGTGCCAGTCATTTTTTCAGAGAAAGGAAAACACCTTCCTTTCTTGGACAGGGCATTTGTAAACTCACTGTTAATAAGTCATCATGCAGAGAACTAGATTTTTTTCATTAGGTATTGATTTTTTATTTTGAAGATTAGGATAATTCTTGCCTGAAACCTTTATACTGATTACAACTTATATCTAAGAGGTAGTGAAAGAGCAGAAAGACGTCATCATCCCAAAGACTGAGAAATAGAATCAGGACCATGTAGTGAAGGGAAGAAGAACAGTGATAAATTCATTCTGCATTCATTCAGTAAAGCTTTTGAGCATTTGCCTGGAAAGATCCCCAGAGGAGGGCATGGCAACCCACTCCAGTATTCCTGCCTGGAGAATCGCATGGACAGAGGAGCCTGGAGGCTAGTCTGTGGGAGTCACAGAGAGTCGGACACAACTGAACAACTAATAATTTCGCTTCATTAGATCCTCACTTTGTTGTAGATATTGGAGATTTTGGTGAACAGATGAAGTTTCTGCTCTCACAAAGCTTACATTCTAGTTAGGGATGAAAGACGATGATGAAATGCCAGGTGGTCATCCTGTGAGGAGGATTAAGGCATGTTAAGGGCAGGCAGAGACAAGGAGAGGGGCAATGTTGCTCTTTTTAAAAGATCAAAAAAGTCTCCTCCATGGTAATGATGCCCTTTAAGCAGAGATCTGAAGGAATTAAGGAACTCAGCCACGTGAAGATGTGGAGAGAAAGTCTGTAAGTGCAGGGCTTCAAAGTAGAATCCTGTTTTGTGTGTTCAAGGACTGTAGAGAAGCCACGGTAACTGGAGTGGAGCAAAACAAAGGGAGAAAGGTGGACGGCGAGGTCACAGAGAGGCCTGGGGTCAGACCGGGTAGTATATGGCCAACCACCAGAAAGACTTCAAGTTTGAGTCTGTGGTTGGGAGACAATAGAAAATTGTGTGATGTGTATTTTAAAAGGATTGGTCTGTAATGTGGCAGGGAGAAAATCAGGGAGACTAATGAAGAGGTTATTGCAGTTTGAGACATCTGAGTGGTAAACATGGTGGAAAGTACTCCTATTTGGGATGTATTTTTCAAGTAGCACTGACAGGATTTGCACGTGGATTCAGTGTGGAGTTAAGAGAGAGGGAGGAATGAAGAATGATTCCGAGGTTTTTAATCTGAGCACCAGAAGAGCAGGTTTCCATGTTCCTGGAGAGGAAAGATCTGGGGAGAAGTTTGCTTTGGAATATGTTATGAGGCTCCTATTAAGGAGTGTATCACAACAATTTTTTCCCCCTTTTCTCTTTTTTTGCTTTTTTCTCTTTAAAAAAAAAAAAACTTTGACGTTTAAGTCAAGTTTAAGTCAAATGAAAGAGTGCATGAATCATAAGTGTTTTGCCCAGTGAAATTTCACAAAGTAAACAGATCTGTGTAACCAAATATAAATTGAGGGCATATCAGCAAATAGACTTGAAATCACAGCACTGGGAAGTCATCTCGATAGTCTGAAAAGAGGAGAGTTTGGGGCCCAAACCCTGAGACACTCCACACATGTAAAGGTCCAGGAGATGAGCAAACTCGGAGGAGCCGCAGCTGGTGAGGAACCAGGTGAGATCAGTGTCCAGGAGGCCAAGTGGCGAAAGGGTTCTGAGAAAGGACATGGGAAAGTTTGTCAAGTGTTACTGATAAGGAAGGAATGAACAGGTTAGTGAGATGAGGAATGAGTGACTGTTGAATCTGGTCGTGAGAAGAGCATATTGACCTCCAGTAGTTTCCATAAAATAGTTAAACTATTAAGAATGTAGTGGGTTGAGAAGAGAATGAGGTGTGGTTTATTCCAGAAATGTGGAAGTGTCAGACACTATAAATATGGAGATGCAAAATACAGTCCTTACTCTGGGAGTGTTGCTGAGATCCCAGCCTCTGTTCCCTGGTGCCGGATAGAAACACAGAGACAAGAGTTTTGGATGAAGTTGAACAGAGTAGCTTTGTTTTGCCAGGCAGAGGAGGCCGCAGTAGGCTAGCGCCCTCAAGACTGCCCTCCCTTGGGAAAAATAAGAAGGGAACTTATAGTTCAGGAGGGGAAGGTAGTGCTGTAGATAAGGAGTAGGGCAGTAGCAAGCTTGCATTCTTCTTTCCTGTTGGAAAATTTCTACATGGTCTAAGTCAGTGTCAAGCTGTCTTGGGAGGAATACAGTAGTCTTTGAGGCTAACACACTGTGCCTTTCTTTCTAGATAAAGAATGCTAACAAGAGAAGGGAGTGTTAGGAAGTGCTTCCTCAGAGAAGCGAACACCATATGCATTGTACGCAGCTCTGATTAGAAAGTAATCGTTTTCAAAATGTAATTAAGTAAGCAAGAGAAGCTTTTCTAAGAAAATGGCTTAGTGGACTTAAAAGAATAAGGCCTAGCCTGTTGGAAGCAGCCTTAACCAATTTCTGCTCTTACAGAAGAACTTACAATGGTATAGGGAAGAAACTTAATAATCATAATTGTGTATGATGACAGTTACTATCGTGTCAGGTATATGATGCCATAGATGCAAATAAAAGGAGAAATTCTGGTTGGAAAGGACAGGAAATGATTCCCTGTTGTAACCCTTGAGTCTCGGAGGGCCAATTTAGAGAGTGGATGTGCATGGGTGATATGTAGGGGGAAGCATTTAAATATTAAAAGGCCCTTTACACAAATGAGCATAAAGAGTTGAAGGTATCATGACACTGACTGTATAGGGAGGAGACTGAGATGGGGATAGAGAGGAGGTAGTGATTGGAGATGATACTGAAGAAGTAAGAGCCACATCACTGAGGGGAGCCTTGTATGCCAAGACAGTAAATCTGATGAAAACTAGCCCCCTTAAGTGCTTGCTTTTTGCCTGTTGACCAGATAACTAGAACTATCTGCATTATCTATGCAGCATGGGGTTTTTATTATTTTTACCTAAAGACGTCTCTTTTTGGTAATGACAAACGTGTTTTTTAAAAAAAGCCTGTTTTTTCTCAATACACCTTTAAAGGTTTTTAAATTGTTTCATATCTGGTCAAGTTGAGATTTTTAAGAACCTCATTTTTAATTTGTAATAAAAGTTTACAGCTTGATTTTTTCAAAAAAAAAAAAGTCAACAAACTGCAAGCACCTGTTAATAAAGGTCTTAAATAATTGTAAAAAAAAAAAAAAAAACTAGCCCCCAAACAAGTACTCATATACACAAAATTTGTGGACCCTTGCAGCCCAACTATGGAACCAAATTAAAAGTCGCATGTGAATTCATCATTGGTGGGAAGTCAATTTGCAGTCGCCTGGATGAGTGTTTGACTAATGGCTGGCGGTGAGGTTGGAGAACTTGAAACACTAGGTTACACTTTCAGGAAGTCTCACTGCAACCCAAGGGCAAGAAAGAATAATGGAGGTAACACCAGCTTGTGGGGTAGATTCTGAAGAAGGGGTGAACTTGATATGGGGCGGATGGGGGAATAAGCAAGTACAAAGAGAGGTTGAAGAGACAGGAGGGAAGAAAGGTGATAAAACAAGCAACCAGAAAGACAGAGAAGGATGGACTCCTCTAAGTGTAAAGGTAGAGTCTAGCCTGTTTGAGAGCTGTGGACAGTAGCCTTTGGGGTAAGTTTGGGGAATGTGGGATGTTATGAGCAGGAATTTGGGGGCTTTCCCACCAGGGTTCTGTTTTTTAGGTGAGATTGTAAATTATGTCAGCTTTGAAAAGGGTGATGACATAGGCCTCCCTGGTAGCCCTGTGGTAAAGAATCTGTCTGCAGTTCAGGAGACACAGGAGACATGGGTTTGATCCCTGGGTCAACAAGATCCCCTGGAGAAGGAAATGGCGACCCA